AAGCTGACCAAGCAGCTGCGATTTGCAGGGGGTGGAAACCTGGAATGTAACAAAATACAAAGCATGGGAAAAATGTGTGGCATTTTCAGTTTAAATTGGCCAGCTGAGCTAGCTGAACTAAGCCCTGGCTAAACTCATACGGTGGCAAGGGCAGCTATCCCCAAAGATAAGCCCTCTGAGAGTGCCTTGAGGGGGTTTATAGCTATAGATATGGAAACCAGTCCTACCCAAGAAGGCATTTTTATTTTTAACATTCTGGAAGCATGCCATCTGTAATGAGTTTGTTCACTCTGGATGAGCTCGAATGATTAAATCAGTCTTTAAAACTCTTGACTACAGGCAATCAAGCACAACTTTGATGCCCTGAGGGGTTAGAGTTTCTATTCCCTGACCATTTGCTCCAAGCACCTTCTGTGAAAGAAAGGGGAGGGGAGGGGAGGGGAGGGGAGGGAAAGGGAAGGAAAGGAAAAAGAAAAGAAAAGAAATATGCTTTTTAGGTTTGAGTTTGACCCTTAAGATGAGTTTCAAACTAACCTCATTTTAAAGACAATGTCCATGGACTTGGTTCTTTTTTTTTTTTTTTTTTGGTGCTATATTTCGATCACTGCACATGCTTGTGTTCAATGGCCTGTAAAATGTCTTGTGTACTCGGAAAGGAGAAGGAGTTCATATTAGAATGGCCATTGTCTATTTGGATTCTAAAAGCATCTGGGCGCACAGTATTTATGTGTTAGCCTAAACACAGTATTTATCTGTTAACCTAAACATAACCTGATTCTAATGGGGAAGACTTATTGAGGTTTAATCGTGAGTTCGTTCACAATGGAGATTCGGTCACCTGTGTTTTCCCTGTGAACAGGACCAGAGTATCCTGGTAGAAGTACACCTCGTTCTTCTCCTTTTCTTTTTTGGTAGAATTATATTTTTTATTGTGGATATATATATATGTGTTATATATTGTGTATACATATACACACAATAACATTTACCATTTTAGTGTATAAATCAGTGGCCCTCAGTTGTGTAACTATCACTACTATTTCCAGAAGGTTTTCACCATTCCAAACAGAAATTCTCTATCAATTAAGCGATCACTCCCCATTTACCCTGCCCCCTAGCCCCTTGTAACTTCTATTCTGCTTTTTGTCTCTGATTTTGCCCTCTATGTGGGATGGTACAATATCTGTCCTTTGTGTGTGGCTTATTTCTTTTAGCATCATGTCCTTAGGGTTTATCCATGTCGTGACATGTATACAAACTCCGTTCCTTTTTAAGGAGTGTTCCATTGTATTAACATGCGCTTTGTCTCTGCATTCATCTGTTGGTGGACATTTGTTTTATTTCCACCTTTTGACTACCGTGAATAATGCTGTCATGAACATGGGTGCACAGGTATCTGTTCCAGTTCCCGTTTTCAGTTCTCTTGGATGCATATCTAGGAATGGAATTGCTGAGTCATGTAGTCATTCTATGTTTAACTTACTGGGGAACTGCCAAGCCACTTTCCATAGTGATTACACCATTTTACATTCCCGTATGGTAGGATGATTTTATCCCTTCTCTGAGGAATTCCATATCTCTCCTTTTTACACTGGGGTTGGCTGCCTGATTTGCAAGTGGATATGACAAAAGTTTTAGACCTCCCCAGTCCCCATGGTTTTCACTCTTTCCTCTAGCCTGTCCCAAACAGGAGCTGCTCCTGCAGGAGTGTGAACAGTAACAGGGCTGCTGTACAGCCACAGCCAGCGCACAACACAAGTGAGAATGAACCTGTGTCTTGGAGGTGCTGCCGTCCTGGCGTCATTTTGTCCTGCAGCAAAAGCAACTCCACATACCTTTGATTGCTCCCTTGGCCTCTCCTCTTTTCACTTGTGCATGATTCTCTGTGGGGTTTCTGCTGCCTTTCTTTGCCAGGTACTTTTACATGTGCTGTTTCCTTTTTCTAGAATTAGCTGTCCTCCAAAACCTGTGACTGATTATTAGGAGGAAGCATACAAAACTGTCATCGTTGCAGATGGAAAGTCATCAAAATCTAGCAGTTTCCTCCGGCTAACATAACTAAAAACAACAATGGCAGCAGCCAGGCACTGTGCTGGGAACTGGGTTCCACTAACCCCTCAGCTCCTCTCATTAAGCTTGGAATGATTCCTAACCCCATTACGAAGATGAGGAAATGCGAGGCTCAGGCTCATCAGGTCACTTAGCTCATCAGTGGTGGATCTAGACTCCAAATCAGGCTCTTAATTAGGACCCTCTATTGTTCAACGTTTTCCCTCCTGTGCACTCCTGTCTTCTCTGGAGGGGCTGCTGGGGATTCCTCGTGACAGTACTTATTACAGTCCCCATTACCTGGAGGTTACATTCTTGTGTGCTCACAATGGTGAAGAAGCTTAGCCAAGCATGTGGTATGTGTTATTCTTAATCCCATTTTGCAGAGGAAGAAATTGAGACTCAGTTCATGACAGGGCTTACTGCATTGCACAAAAGTTGCCTAAATCACCAAAATAAGCAGGCACGGTTCCAGGGAGGAGAGCTGAGGAGACTGGGTTGCTGGCTTTGTCAACGCAGCGCTGTGACTTGCCTACGGACTAATGACTTTCCTCTCAACAGGACTACACATATCCAGTCAGCCTCCCCATCTAAAATGTCACACTCTAGGTTCCCTCTCTCATCCCACAGAGCTGCTTCTGCACACCCGCCAGGAACCGATGCTGCTGAAAACATCATATCTCATTATCAAAGGCATAAGCCCTTAGTTCAGGAATTTCAAATATTTTAGCAGATAAGCAGTGGTATTTTGGAGACTATTAATCATGAAACTAAACTTCCTGACCAAATCCTATATCTGGTCAATGTTTCTAGAAGCCACCAGGCTGCGTTTCAAGTGAAGTAAGACTTAGTAATTTACAATCGCAAATGCAGCATCTGCTGTTCAAATGGGTGGGTTTTTTGCCAGAGGACATTCCATGTATTTAGTGATATAAGATCCTACTCCACTGTTAGCCGCTTATTTAATTTCTACACTCCTTTTCATCTGTTCATCCTCAGAAGAATCTGAAATTTCCCCAGCAGTTGTGGAACTGGGGTCATTCAAGCGGTGCCCACCAAGTGCCAAGTCCAGTCTAGCTACAGGACTTAGTCCCTGCACGCTCCCGAATTCAAATTCTACCCGGCACACTTACGTGCGTGCTTATCTTGTAGGACTAACACCGATCCATGGGAGGGAGAGATTTAAGTCATGGACGCGAAAGATCTTTCTAAAGAGCATGCATCCCAACTTCAAAAATAGAAACAGAGTTACGCTGTACCTTTTTTCCTCAGAAACGTTGAAGTTTAAACAAAATGAATTCTTAGTATTTTAAAAATTGACCTGGGTCAGGCACGGTGGCTCATGCCTGTAATCCCAGCACTTTTGGGAGACGGAGGCAGGCAGCTAACCTGAGTCTGGGAGTTTGAGACCAGCCTGGCCAACATGGTGAAACCCCGTCTCTACTAAAAACACAAAAATTAGCTGGGCATTGTGGCACACACCTGTCCTAGCTACTCAGGAGGCTGAGGCAGGGGAATTGCCTGAACCCAGGAGGTGGAGGTTGCAGTGAGCCGAGATCATGCCACCACACTCCAGCCTGGGTGACAGAGCAAGGCTCTATCTCAAAAAAAGAAAAAAAAAAAAATTGACCCATCGTCAGAATTTTAAGTCAATTTTTGATTTAATATTATGTTTATGATCTTGTGGAGAAATGTTTAAAATAGAAACAGTATAAAATGCCAAAAATAATAAAAGGAAATCTACACTTCATTGATTTCATTGATATAAATACGTTTTCAATTTTAGGATACAATCGCCAATTCCTGATCCCCAGTCAAAAAGATTAAGTAGATCCAGATGTCACAGATATGAATCCACATGTTTATATCACATCTTGAAAACAATCATTATTTTAATCCTACCAAGGTATAAGTTGCTGTATTAGTGAGGGAGAGAGACTAGTTTTGTGTAGAAAGACAGCAGTGAAGATGGCAGTGAAACACATGTCCATGAGGTATCTTGAATTTGTATTGACTGTCCCCAAATCTTAATGTTTTCAGCTTATTGAGGAAATTTTCCTAGTACATGCCCTTCTCCTGGCATAAAGTTTTCCTACAGAGTCTGCAATTTTTAGGTAACAAAGAATATTAATAATAAAAAAGGAACTTTCTACTGATCTCAAGTTTGTGTTAATACAATGTTCAGTCTAACTCCAAACTCATTCCCTAGCAAAACCCTCTTTAAACCATGTGGGTCTCCCTGTCCTCATCATTTGGATTTTTCCCCATTATCGGTGCCATCACTCTGTAACATCTGTCTCCCCTTTGATTGCCAATGTGAATTTCGATGGTCTGGCTGGTTTCTTCCTCTCCTGCATATTTTTGAGTACCTGTTTCTCTTCTCACCCAAAGAGGTATAACTCTACAAGGACAAAAGTTATGGAAACTATATTTTCAAACCTAAAATCACAATATCCTTAGCATGAGAAGTATGCCTGCACTTAAACATACAATGGGGCAAAACATTTGAACTGTCTGAAACACCTAGGATGCCTGGTCATCAGCCTGAAGAAGACAGATGGCAGACATTAGGTGTCTTTCTAGCACCTTCTTGTCTGGAGCACTGTATCTTCAAGTAATTGTTACACTTGAATGAGTGGCTGAGAATTTAAAGGCATTTATCATTGGTGAGGCTTTTGAACTTATGTTGAACATTCAAATTTTGACTCTCTCTCTATATAGACACATATAATTTATTTTTTTTAGAGTCTCACTCTGTCACCAGGCTGGAGTGCAGTGGCACGATCTCAACTCACTGCAACCTCCGCCTCCCAGATTCCAGTGATTCTCCTGCCTTAGCCTCCCAAGTAGCTGGGATTACAGGTGCACACCACCACACCTAGCTAATTTTTGTGTTTTTGGTAGAAACAAGATTTTGCCATGTTGGCCAGGCTGGTCTCGAACTACTGGCCTCAAGTGATCCACCTGCCTTGGCATTCAAAGTCCTGGGATTACAGACATGAGCCACCACGTCCGGCCAACATTTATATTCTTAACAGTCTATTTCTAGAGCTACCACGCCCAGTCAACGTTTATACTCTTAACCGTCTTTTTCTATAAGCATACAGATTTAGCCTTCTCTGTTGGTGTTATCATGTTCAATCAGTGGAGATTGTGCAGAACCCCTGGGACTGGGGACTGAAAGAGCCAATGATAGAATAGAGACTGGGACAGAGTAAGATAGCCCTTCTCTCCTGATTTGGGTCTGCTCATTGAACTTCCATCTAAAGTGGAATGGAAAAAGACTGCTGGTTCCCATTTCACTAAGAGTCAGCCTCCTAGTGCGGAGTCTATTTGGAAGCCACAACCAGAAGCCACTTAACTGAGCAGCAAGCGCTGAATCTCCTCGGGGAGCCACAGGATGTAGAGGAAGTGTGGCACCACCACGTCCTGCAATCAGCAGTCAACTGCCCTCACCTACGGGCATGCCATTCCACAGCCAAGACTCCCCAAGGCCATAATGTCCAGCCCCATCTCTAAAACTACAAGAGTGAGTACAAAAAGATGTTGCACCATGATAGAGGTCAACCCACTGTTCAATGTGGAAAAAAGCAATTTGGCAAAGCTGGTGAGTGCAGATAAGCGTGGCTCCAGAGAGACAAAGGCTCAGTCTGTTTTGCTTCTAAATTTGAGCAATTAGTGTCCTATGCAATACTCATCAACTCAATAGCTAGGCAACATTTCTGGAAGAAATATATTTCTAGGAAAGTGACTATGAAAATGTTTTTAGAATAGTTTGTTCTATTATGAATTCTTTTTAAAGCATTTCTTGATAACAGTATACGAACTTAGTCATCCTTAATAGTTATCTAATTAGCTAACATTATTAAAGCAGGAGTTGCATGAAATAGAATCAGCATTTAATATCAGAATTAAAAAGAAAACACATGAGACTTGTATCATGACAAATTTCTCCCTGAATGTTTGAAATTGCTCCCACTTTTTCAGGTACACATATCACAGATTCAAGGAACAGGATATTCTCCGAACTTGAGACAAATAAAACTGACTTTTCTTTGTCCTTTACCCCAATCAGAAGCAATAATTACATCCAGGATACAACTGATCTTCCCACAGTTGGCTTCCTGAGTGCGTGATTAGCTACAAACCTTCCTACCTAGTGGGATGTGGGAAAATGAAATAGCAGGAAGATGGAGGCTGACATTTTGCTCCTTGGGGAATGAAGTGTGAAACCCGTGGGAAGTTGAGAGTACACTCAGAGCTTAGTTCCCATGCCCAAGAAGATAAGTATGTCCCTGAATCTTCTGATGCAAAATCCTTCATTTGTGTATTATAACCAGGCCTGTGTGGCTTGGGTTAGAAAAGCTGTATTTGGGTTCCTATTACTGGTGATGGGCAAATCTAAACCTAAACCTACTTTGCATCATCGCACCTGAACTACAAGTTACAGCTAAGCTTAAGAACATTTTTTACTTCATTTACTTGTCTGGAAGCAAAATGGTTCTGAAGCTGTTTTGGAAATACATAAGTATATCTATCTCCATAATTATCTATCTGTCTATCTATCTATCTATCTATCTATCTATCTATCTATCTATCTACCTACCTATCTCTTAGTATTCAAAATCTCAACCAAAGAGAAAATGTGTATGTGACTTCAAGCAGATGGAGACACCCCCAGCCCCACCCACCTACTGATGTTGCTTCATTGGGAAGACATGCAATGCAGGAGGAGTTCCAAATTTCCACCCTTGGCTGAAAGGGTCTCAAAGTCAGGCACACAAATACAAAGTAAAACATCTTTGCAAGTTATTGTCTGTTCAGAGTGCACAGCTAGGAGAAATGGAAAACAGGCATTCAGCCCTCGACTCATCCTCCTCCTCCTCCATCTGTCTTCCCCTTTATCTGTTGATTGGCCATGTCACCATGGCATCTAGACTCTCGGCAGGATGAAGTAGTAGAATATGCTTATAAGGATGGAGAAGGCCTGCTTGTCCTTGCTTCGTTTGTGATCTGAGGAGAAAGAATGGCTCCATTGCCTGCAACTCCAACAAACAGAGCAGAAATAATATCCAGGTAGACTAGAAATGAACAGTCAGCCCGTTAAAGTCAGGATAAATCATCGAAGACTAGGCGTCAGACAGTCATGGACCATACAGCATTCATGTGTCCTTCTGATATCACAAGTTCAAACATGTGCTTTTCTTTTTCACCAAACTTTTGACTATGAAATAATTGTAGATATGAATGCATTTGTAAGAAGGAATACAGAAAGACCCTGGATCATTTACTCAGTTTTCCCAATGGTAACAACTTGCAAGATGATAATACAATATCACAACCAGGATATTGACATTGATGTAATCCATCAACATATGCTGTGCTTTCAAAATCAGTTTAACTGCTTGAAAAGTAGCAAATCCATAAAAATACCTCAGGCTGGATAAACAGCCTGAAGGGGATGTGTTGTATATTTATGAACAGGCTGCTTTGTCTGGCTGAGGGAAGTGTGGCCGGCGTGGGTAAATCATTGAATCATGGGTTCTATGAACTGATCAAAGTTCTCTCTCACTGACAGCACTTTCTGTGGCAGAGGAACTTTTTTGTATTTTGTTTCAATTTAGGATTTCCTAAAATTAAGATGAGAGAGTGTCCAGAAGGGTATGTACCAATCACAAGGATGCAGAACAGAAAGACGAACCTTTTGACATGAAACTTTAGAGAAAAGAGAAAAGCTTTTATCAAGTAGTGGGAGATGTAGAGGATCAGGAAGGACAGGATAGACAGCAACGCGCTGATGTGGGCACCCCTGCCAGGAACCCTGCTGCCAGCCACTGTGTTTCTCATTTGCCGGGTATGCCTCCCCAGAGAGAAAATCAAGAGCAGAACAGCAACAAGGAAGATAAGTAATGGCACTAAGAGCTCAGCAACAAAAGAGAAAATCTGTATAGCCTGTTTAACTTCTGTTTGAATTGTGGCATTTTGGAAGAAAAGGTTCCTTAAGAAGTACGGGACCATAAACCCTGTATATTTGCTATGGAAAATACAAATCATAGATACATATAGCAGAGACCCCAGGATCATCCACGGGACTAACTTGGATATCCTCATCTTCAACCAGATGAAGAGTGGGTGAGGGACGCTGGCAACCTTGGCACAGTAGAAAATGCCGAGCCATGTGGCAAGCCAAAGTTCCAATTCATTTACAAATACGAGAAATGCACAACTCGCAGAACACGTGATGAATTCTATCAAGAAGATAACAACCACATTAATGTAGAAGATGAACAACTGCAGAAAAAATCTAGAAACCGCCAGGCAAGAAAGAAGAAGATCCAGTGGAGCCATTTTTCTGTGCTTGATCAAGTCAATGCCATTCACCACCACAATGATGCCATTCGTGAAAGTCCCAAGAAGAAATTGTATCACTGCAAAAAGAAAAGAGATAATCAGGTGTGACTCTAGCATTTTAGGAATAAAAAATTATTTACTTAAAAAATAATGCAGTTATAGAGCTTTGGACCAGCTGAGTTATTCACGTTATTCTTCAATTAGATCAGGATTCCTCTGGAGAACAAGACAAACAATAAAGGCATGAGGCAGGAAGGTTGTGTATATTTGTTTATGTCACTGCTTTCTCAATTTAGTTCTGAGAGAGTCAAATAAGGAGGAGATACTCTAGCAACAATTTGCTTCTTATTGATGGCTTTTGCATTTTACAGGTTTACCTAGCTTTCAAAGTCATCACAGGCAAATAATGCAATCAGACACCTTCAGATGGCTGGGAGAACGGCTCCTCCACAGTAATTAGTCAAAGATACTCAATTCTTCATCTCTACTACAAATAATTGATTTTGTCTACAGGTGTGATTCTACTTAATGTTATCTGTGTACTCTTTTAAAATACATATTTTTGAAATTTTCACTTCCGTTATGATGATATAATACAACCAGCAACATAGGACTCCTGAGTAGTTCCCCAATATGCAACGGTTGAGCAATTCAAAACTATCTATAAAATAGTTATAGAATAAAACATACATAATAAAACAAAAGTATCACTAAGTATAAAAGCAAAGTAATTAAGCTTGCACATACGTGTGTACACCAGGTCAAAGGCCTAAGGGAAAGTAAGGTGCAATGAAATGAAGACAAGCACTCAGCACTGTTCACTCTGGTCAGCATCTGCAGGGTAATTCAGGGGTTAAAACCTTTTCTCTCTTATTTTTTCCAAAACTATGAGAGTTTTATGACATGAGCTAGTTGTTCTAGTAGAAAAGTAAAGATAAAATAGTACATGATTAAATTTGTTGCTTTCACTCTCTAACGCACTATGAAAAATTAACTTGGTATTTCTTAATATGTATACCATGCCGCTTGTAATGCTGAAGTGGGTTTTTTCAGTCTTCACACTATTGACATTTTGAGCTAGATAATTCTTTGTTAGGGCAGGGGCTGTCCTGTGCAATCTAGGAAATGTAGAGTGTCTATGACATTCCTGTCCTCTACCCACTAGATGCCCTCCCCAGGCTGTAACAACCAAAATGTTTCTAGACATTGCCAGATGATCAACAGTGGCAGAACCACTATGAGGGGACAAAGGTAGATAAAGAATAGTTTGTATCTTCCAGTTATTCCAAGACTAAAGGCAGAGCAAACCACATATATAATGTGATATAAAACTAAGTTCTCTCTCTCTCTCTTTAGAGACAGAGCCTTGCTTTGTCACCTAAGTTGGAGTGAAATGGTATAATCGCAGCTCACTGAAGCTTCAAATTCCTAGGCTCAGGTAATCCTCCTGCCTCAGCCTTTTGAGTAGCTAGGACTATAGATATGAACCACCATGCCTGACTGCTTTTTAAAAAACTTTCGTAGACATGGAGTCTTGCTACATCGCCCAGGCTAGCCTTAACCTCCTGACCTCAAGCAATTCTCCTGCCTCGGCCTTTTGAGGTATTAGGATTATAGGCATGAGCCACCACTCCCAGCCAAGTTAGTTCTTTAGACAATTCATCACCAGAGCACAAAGTGGGGACCAATTCAATAAACATTGAGGGAATTAAAGCATCTCCAACTTAGCACTTAACCAAAAGGTACCTGGCAGACCCGATAATGAAACATATGTCTTAATGAACATGTTACTTTGTCTAAATTTGTCATAAAGAATACTTAAGATTAATCTTACTTTTAGAAAACTGGAAGGGAAGTCATATTTAAAAAAATTAGTAGTGAGAGTAAATCTGTAGGTTCTTTTATGGCTCTTCTCTGAATAGGACCGTCTATGCCATCTTGGGCTCACTTTGTTCTTCCTGACACAACTACAGTGAGATGAAGGAAAGAGACAGGATCATCTTCAAGGAAGCACCAAGGGAGGCGTTCATGAGCAGATGCTATCAGAATAGGTCCAAATCCAAGCATGCCAGGAGGATGAGCCTTGTTTTCCCTCGAGTAGAAGGAAGAAGCAGCTTTGCAATTTCACATTCTGCAGCTTAGAAAAACAAAAATATAAGGGCATGCAGCTATGAAATACAAGCATACTTCCATAATACTGTGCATTCAATTCTAGACCACCAAAATACAAGAACATTGCAATAAGGCCAGTCACACTAATTTGTTGGTTTTCCAAGACATATAAAAATTATGTTTATACTAAACTATGGTCTATTAAGTGTGCAATAGCACTATGTCTTAAAAAAAGATATACATACTTTAATTGAAAATACTTTATTACCAAAAAACGCTAATGATCATTCGAGCCTTCAATGAGTCATAATCTTTTTGTTGGTGGAGGGTCTTGCCTCAATATTGATGGCTGCTGACTGATCAGGCTGGTGGTTAATGAAGGTTGGGTGACTGTGGCAATTTCCTAAAATAAGACAACAATCAATTTTGTGCATTGATGAACTCTTCCTTTCACAAAAGACCTCTTTGTAGCATGTGATGTTGTCTGACAGCATTTTACCCATGGTAGAACTTTCAAAATTGGAGTCAGTCCTCTCAAACCATGCCACTACTTTATTAACTAAGTTTTGAAGTGTTCCAAATCCTCTGTTGTCATTTCAACAATGTTCACAACTTCTTTACCAGGAGTAGTTTCCATCTCAAGAAATTATTTGCTCATCTGTAAGAAGCACTTCCTCATCTCTTAAAAACTTCATCATAAGATGACAGCAATTCAGTCTCATCTTCAGGCTCCACTTCTAATTCTAGTTCTCATTCTATTTCCACCACATCTCCAGCTATTTCCTTCACTGAGGTCTTGAACCCCTCCAAGTCATCCAGGAGGGCTGGAATCAAATTCTTTTACACTCCTGTTATTGTTGATTTTTTTTTTACCTCCTTCCATGAGTCACAAATGTTCTTAGTGGTATCTAAAATGGTGAATTCTTTCCAGAAAGTTTTCAATTTACTTTGTTCAGGTACATCAGAGAAATCACTATGGCAGCTGTAGCCTTATGGAAAGTATTTTATAAATAATAAGACTTGGATGTCAAAACTACTTCTTGATCCATGTGTTGCAGAATGGATGTTGTATTGGCGGGCATAAAAACATTTATTTCCTTGTACATCTCCATCAAAGCTCTTAGTTAATTAGATGCATTGTCAATGAGCAGTACTATTTTTAAAAAGCTATTTTTTGCTGAGCAATAGGTTGCATTCACTTTTTATGGCTTAGCATTCCATGGGGTGGGTGTGTGTGTGTGTGTGTGTGTGTATATATATATATATAAATTTTCTTTATCCACTCATTCATCGACGGACACTTAGGCTGGTTCCATATTTCTGTATTTTCAAATTGTGCTGCTATAAACATGCATGTGCAAATGTCTTTCTCATATAATGACTTCTTTTCCTCTGGGTAGATACCCAGGAGTGGGATTGCTGGATCAAATGATAGTCCTACTTTTAGTTCTTTAAGTAATCTCCATATTGTTTTTCACAGTGGTTGTACTAGTTTACATTCCCACCAGCAGTGTAAAAGTGTTCCCTTTACACCACATCCACACCAACATCTATTATTTTTTGATTTTTTAAATTGTGGCCATTCTTGCAAGAGCAAGGTGGTATCTCATTGTGGTTTTAATTTGTGTTTCCCTGATAATTAGTGATGCTCAGCTTTTTTTTCATATGTTGTTGGATATTTGTATATCTTCTTTTGAGACTTGTCTATTCATATCCTTTGCCCACGTTTTGATGGGATTATTTGTTTTTTTCATGCTGATTTGTCGGAGTTCCTTGTGATTCTGGATATTAGTTCTTTGTCAGATGCATAATTTGTAAATATTTTCTCCTGTTCTGTGGGTCATCTGTTTACTCTGCTGATTATTTCTTTTACTGTGCAGAAACTTTTTAGTTTAATTAGGTCCCACCTATTTATTTTTGGTTTTGCTGCATTTGCTTTTGGGTTCTTGGTCATGAACTCTTTGCCTGAGCCAATGTAAAGAAGAGTTTTTCTGATGTTACCTTCTCGAACTTTTATGGTTTCAGGTGTTAGATTTAAGTCTTTGATATATCTTGAGGTTGTTTTTATAAGGTGAAAGAAGAGGATCCAGTTTCATTCTTCTACATGTGGCTTTCCAATTATCTCAGCAGTAATTGTTGAATATGGTGTCTTTTTCCCACTTTATGTTTTTGTTTGCTTTGTCAAAGATCAATTGCCTGTAAGTATTTGACTTTATTTCTGGGTTGGCTATTTTGTTCCATTGGTCTATGTGCCTGTTTTTATAACAATACCATACTGTTTTGGTAACTACAACTTTTTAATATAGTCTGAAGTCAGGTTTTGTGATGCTTCCAGGTTTTTTTTGTTGTTGTTGTTCTATGGTCTTGCTTTGGCTATGTGGTCTCTTTTTTGTTTCTATATGACTTTTAGGTTTTTTCTAGTTCTGTGAAGAATGATGGTGGCATTTTGATGGGAATTGCATTGAATTTGTAGATTGCTTTTGGCAGTATGGTCATTTTCATAATATTGATTCTACCCATCCATGAGCATGGGATGTGTTTTCATTTGTTTGTGCCATAGACGATTTCTTTCAGCAGTGTTTTGTATTTTTCCTTGCAGAGATCTTTCACCTCCTTGGTTAGATATATTACTAAGTTTTTTTTTTTTTTTTCTTTCTTTTTTTTTTTTTTTGCAGCTGTTGTAAAAGGGATTGAGTTCTTGATTTGTTTCTCAGCTTGCCCATTGTTCGTGTATAGCAGTCCTACTGATTTGTGTACAATGACTTTGTTTTCTGAAACTTTACTGAATTCATTTATCTGATCTAGGAGCTTTTTTGATGTGTCTTTGGGGTTTTTTAGGTATACAATCATATTACTGGTGAACAACAACAGTTTGACTTCCTCTTTACTGACTTGGATGCCCTTTATTTCTTTCTCTTGTTTGATTGCTCTGGCTAGGACTTCCAGTACTATGTTGAATAAAAGTGGTAAAAGTGGACATCCTTGTCTTGTTTCAGTTCTCAGGGAGAATATTCTTAAGTTTTTCCCATTCAGTATAATGTTGGCTGTGGGTTTGTCATAGACGGATTTTACGATCTTGAGGTATGTCCCTTCTATGCCAATGTTGCTAAGGGTTTTAATCATAAAGGGATGCTAGATTTTGTCAAATGTTTTTCCTGTATCTATTGAGATGATCATATGATTTTTGTTTTTAATTCTGTTTATGTGATGTATCACATGTATTGACTTGTATATGTTAAAATATTCCTGCATCCCTAGTATAAAATCCACTTGATCATGGTGGATTATCTTTTTGATATGCTGTTGAATTTGGTTAGCTAGTATTCTGTTGGGGATTTTTGCATCTATGTTCATCGGGGATATTGGTCTGTAGTTTGCTTTTTTAGTTATGTCCTTTCCTGGTTTTGATATTAGGGTGATACTGGCTTCACAGAATGACATAAGGAGGATTCCCTCTTTCTCTATCTTTTGGAATAGTTTTAGTAAGATTGGTACCAATTCTTCTTTGAATATCTGATAGAATTCAGCTCTGAACCCCTTTGGTCCTGGACATTTTTGTTGGTGATTTTTTTTTTTTTTTACTACTGTTTCAGTCTTGTCACTTGTTATTGGTCTGTTCAGAGTTTCTATTTCTTCCTGACTTAATCTGGGAGGATTGTATATTTTATCCACCTCCTCTAGATTTTCTAGTTTTTGTGTGTAAAGGTGTTCATAGTTGCCTTGAATAATTTTTTATGTTTCTATGGTATCGGCTGTAATATTTCCTGTTTCATTTCTAATTGAGACTATTTGGATCTTCTCTCATCTTTTCTTGGTTAATCTCACTAATGGTCTATCAATTTTGTTTATCTTTTCAAAGAATCAGCTGTTTCATTTATCTTTTGTGCTGTTTTTATTTCAATTTCATTTAGTTCTGTTCTGGTCTCTGTTATTTCCTTTTTTTTTTTTCCTGCCAGGTATGGGTTTTGTTTGTTCTCGTTTCTCTAGTTCCTTGAGGTGTGACCTTGGATTACTTATATGTGCTCTTTCAGACTTTCTGAAGTAGGCATTTAATGCTAAGAACTTTCCTCCTAACACTGCTTTGGCTGCATCCCAGAGGTTTTAATAAGTTGTCTCACTATTATTGCTCAGCTCAATGAATTTTTTTTAATTTCCATCTCAATTTCATTGTTGACCCAAAGATTATTCAAAAGCAGATTATTTATTTCCATGTATTTGTACAGTTTTGAGAGTTCCTTATGGAGTTAACTTCCAGTTTCATTTCACTGCAGTCTGAGAGTGTACTTGATATAATTTTGATTTTCTTAAATTTATTGAGACCTGTTTTGTGACCCATCATATGGTCTATATTGGAGAATATTCCATGTACTGAAGAAAATAATGCATATTCTGCAGTTGTTTGGTAGTATGTTCTGTAAATATCTATTAAGTCCATTTGTTCTAGGGTATAGTTTAAGTCCATTTTTTCTTTGTTGACTTTCTGTCTTGATGAGCTGTCTAGTGCTATTAGTGGAGTATTGGAGTCCCTCATCTATCTCATTTCTTAGGTCTAGTAGTAATTATTTTATAAATTTGGGAGCTCCAGTGTTAGGTGCATATATATTTAGGATTATGATATTTTCCTGTTGGATTATCCATTTTATCATTATATAATGTCCCTCTTTGTCTCTTTTCTACTGTTGTTGCTTTAGAGTCTATTTTGTCTGATATAAGAATAGCTACTCCTGCTTGCTTTTGGTGTCCATTTGTATGGGATATCTTTTTCCACCCCTTTACCTTAAGTGAGTTCTTATGTTTGGGTGAGTCTCTTAAAGACAGCAGATACTTAATTGGTGGATTTTTAATCCATTCTGCCATTCTGTGTCTTTTAAGTGAAGCATTTAGGCCATTTACGTTCAATGATAGTATTGAGATGTGAGGTACTTTCTATTCATTGTGCTAGTTGTTGCCTTAATACCTTGGGTTTTTTTCCATTGTGTTATTATTTTATAGGCCCTGTGATATTTATGCTTTAAGGAGGTTCCATTTTGGTGTATTTCAAGGTTTTGTTTCGAGATTTAGAATTCCTTTAGCACTTTTTGTAGTGCTGGCTTAGTAGTGGCAAATTCTCTTAGCATTTGTTTGTCTGAAAAAGACTTTGTGTCCTTCATTTATGAAGCTTAGTTTTGCTAGGTACAAAATTCTTGGCTGGCAATTATTTTGTTTCAGGAGGATAAAAATGGAACCCCAATGCTTTCTCGCTTGTAAGGTTTTTGCTGAGAAGCCTGCTGTTAATCTGATAGGTTTTTCCTTTAAGGGTTATCTGATGCTTTTGTTTCATAGCTCTTAAGATTCTTTCCTTTGTCTTGACTTTAGATAACCTGATGACTACTTGACTAGGTGATGATTTTTTGTGATGAATTTCCCAGGTTTTCTTTGAGTTTCTTGTATTTGGATGTCTAGATATCTAGGAATGCCAGGGAAACTTTGCTCAATTACTTCCTCAAATACTTTTCCAAACTTTTAGATTTCTCTTCTTCCTCAAAAACACCAATTATTCATAGGTTTGGCCATTTAACATAATCCCAAATTTCTTGGAGGCTTTGTTCATTTTTTTAAATTCTTTATTTGCCTTTTTCTGATTGAATTCAAAAGCCTTGTCTTCAAGCTCTGAATTTCTTTCTTCTACTTGTTCAGTTCTATTGTTGAAACTTTCCAGTGCATTTTGTATTTCTCTAAGTGTGTCTTTTGTTTCCAGAACTTGTTATTGTTTTAATGATATATATTTCTCTGGATAATTTTTCATTCATAGCCTACATTTTTAAAATTTCTTTTAAGTTGGTCTTCACCTTTCTCCGGTATCTTCTTAAGCAGTTGAATAATCAAACTTCTGAATCCTTTATCTGGCTCTTCAGAGATTTCTTCTTGGTTTGGATCCATTGCTGGGGAGCCAGTGTGTGTGATGTTTGGGGGTATTATAGAAACCTGTTTGTCATATTACCAGAATGACTTTTCTGGTTCCTTATCATTTGGATAGACTATTTCAGTGGAGAGGTCTAAAACTCAAGGCCTGCTGTTAAGATTCTCTTGTCCCATGGGGTGATCCCTCAATGTGGTGCTCTGTGGTGCTCTTTTTCTTCCCCTAGGGATGAGGCTTCCTGACAGCTGGACTGACTGCAGTGATTGTTGCTGTTCTTCTGGGTTTAGCCATCCAGCAGGCTACCAAGCTCTGGACTGGTATCAGGGGACGTCTGCAGAGTCCTGTGATGTGATCTGTCTTCAGGTCTCCCAGGACATGGATACCAGTACCTGCTCTGGTGGAGGTGTCAGGGAAGTGAAGTAGACTCTGTGAGAGTCCTTGATTGTAGATAGGTTTAGTTTGCTGGCTTTCTTAAATGCTGGTTATACTAGCAGTGAAGTTGTCATGTGGACAGACTCAGGGCCTCTGCTTAGCCCAGGATATTGCAGGCAGTGGAATTAGGTGTTATCTTCTCCTTCCTGGGGTCAGTGTTATTCTGTCCTGAGTTGCTTTAATGGCCTGAGTTGGTTGCCCTCCAGCCAGGAGATGGCACTTTCAAGAGAGCACCAGTTGCAGTAGTAGTAGGGAGCTTTAAGCTTGCCCTAAGATGGCCAGGGTAATTATTTTGGTTTCTCAGGTGATAGGTGGGGCCATAAAGTTCCCAAGAATTTCTATGTCTTGAGTTTGGCTACCATGGAAGGTAGGGAAATACCATCAGGTGGAGGCAGGGTTAGTGGGTGTGGGCTCATACTCTCCCTGAGTGGGGCTTGCCACAGCCACTGTAGGGGATGTGGGCGGGGGAGGGGGTTCTCAGGCCAATGGGGATATGTTCTAGAGAGAATCTTGGCTACCTCTGCTGTATCATACAGTTCACCAGGGAAGTGGGGGATAGCCAGTAGCAAGAGGCCTGACCCAGCTCCCACACAGTTGGTAAGGCCAGTCTCACTCCAGCAGTGCCCCCACTCAGACCTTGCCCAAGACCATGAGGTACCCCACTAGGAAAGCAAGCATGGCTTTCAGACCTAACCCCTCTCCAACTGCCCACTCCATTGGCAGCAGCTCCTGTGCTTGCTTGCTTATACCTACAGCAGCTCCCACTCACCCCCCAGACTCTGCTCAAGAAAATTTGTACCCAGTCAAAACTATTACCAATTTTTTTTTTTTTTTTTTTTTTTTTTGAGACGGAGTGTCGCTCTGTTGCCCAGGCTGGAGTGCAGTGGCCGGATCTCAGCTCACTGCAAGCTCCGCCTCCCGGGTTCCCGCTATTCTCCTGCCTCAGCCTCCTGAGTAGCTGGGACTACAGGCGCCCGCCATCTCGCCCGGCTAGTTTTTTTTTTTTGGATTTTTCAGTAGAGACGGGGTTTCACCGTGTCAGGCCAGGATGGTCTCGATCTCCTGACCTCGTGATCCGCCCGTCTCGGCCTCCCAAAGTGCTAGGATTACAGGCTTGAGCCACCGCACCCGGCCACTATTACCAATTTCTGATGGGAACTTCCTTCACCCTGCAACCCCTCCCCAGTTGCATTGGCTGCTTTCCCCAAGGGACCCTGTGAGATACAGTGATGCCTTCCCTGGGCTCCAGCTGGAGACTGGGAGTGCATGCAAGGCACTACCCGCTGCTACTTCTACTTTTATATTTGGCATAACTTGCTAAATCCACTTTATCCCTAGGTAGGTTAAATCCTTCTTCTGTGATCTGGATTTTCAGATTCCCCAGTGAGTATGCGTGTTCAAAGGTAGGTTTTCCCCCTATCATGCTTTGCGAACTCACAGTTTGTTGCCTGTTTTGTGGAATTCGCAGCAGCAAACCACTTCTTTCAAAGGATCTGTGAATTATTTTGGTTTTCCTGGCATGTTCTTGCAGTGGTTCTTGGAGCAAAAGATCATGATGTTAGTCTCCATACGCTGTTCTGCCATCCACGTGGAAGATGCACGTTAGGCCTTTCCTTTATTTGCCATCTCCCCCCAATCTCCTATCCTAGCTAAATCTTCTGAATTGCTGCAGCTTCTACATAAGCAGTTGCTGCTTTACCTTGTACCTTTATGTTATAGAGAAGGCTTCTTTCCTTAAACCTCATGATCTATCCTCTGCTAACTTCAAACTTTTCTTCTGCAGCTTTTTCACCTCTCTCAGCCTTCATACCATTGATGAGAGTTAGAGCTTTGCTCTAGATTAGGCTTTGGCTTAAGGAAATGTTGTGGCTGGTTTGATTTTGTATCAGAGCCCTAATACTTTCTTCATGTCAGCAATAAGGCTATTTTATTTTCTTATCACTTGAATGTTCACTGGGGTAGCACTTCTAATTTTCTTCAAACAGTTTTCCTTTGCATTCACAACTTCAGCATTTGGCCTATCATGGCTTTCAACATGCCTTTCTCACTAAGATTAACCATTTCTAGCTTTTAATTTAAAATAAGAGACAGACAACTCTTCCTTTCACTTGAACACTCAAAGGCCATTTTAGGGTTATTAATTGGCCTCATTTTAATATTGTTACAAGTCAGGGAATAGGGAGGCTCAAGGAGAAGGAGTGCAATGGGACAGCCAGGTAGAGGATCAGTCAGAATACACATGACATTTATCAATCAAGTTTGCCATCTTGTTTGGACACAGCTGGTGGTGTCCCCCAAACAATTACAATAGGAACATCAAAGATCATTGATCACAGATCACCATAATGATACAAAAATAATAAAAAAAGTTTCAGATGGTGAACGAATTACCAAAATATGACAGAGACATGAAGAGAGCACACGTTGTTGGAAAAATGACCCCGATAAACTTGCTTGACACAGAATTGCCACAAACCTTCAATTCCTTTAAAAAAAAAAAAAAATCTGTAAAGCACAATAAAGTGAAGAGCAATAAAATAAAATGAGGTACGCTTGTAGGAAAGCCAAGAACTCTCAGAAGAGCAGTTACTGCTAGTTCCTTGGTTTCTCAATCAAGCGTCTATCATTGCACCTGTCCTTTCTATTGCAAATCTTGTTTAACCCACCTGTGCCCTGCAAGACTCAGCTCTGTGAAGCAGATTTGTGCTTTCTTCTCATCCTCAGCACTCTTCATTCATTAATTCATTTAGAGTTTAACATATGGTGGGTTTGTTAAGTATAACCAGACTCAATTACACAAGGGAGGAAAAGAAAAATAAGTATTACCAGAAGAAAAAAGTAAATATTACCAAGCCACTTTGAAAGACAGTCATTGTTTTCTAGCTCTCTCTTCCTAGAGAACCCAGGCCATAATACCAGCATGGAGTTCATCCCTGTTTGCTGTCATATTGCCATGACATTTATATACTGATCCCGTGGTGTGCACCTTCAGCAAGGTCCTGGCATTTCAGTATTGCAAGAAAAGTAACAAGAACACTAAAGTGGGGAAGTGAAAAAAAAAGTTCACATCCTGAGTCTAGGATAGCAATACAGTTTTTCAGCACTGACAAAAAACTAGCAGAAATAATGCATATTGCACCAAAGACTTAAAAGAAATAACGAGTCCAATTCTATTTGTTAGCATGTTATTTGGCTTTTGGATTCTAGTATCCTGAGGGGCCATTTGGTTCTCAGATATTCTATTATAACTTTTGTTAGAACTAACTTGGAGAGCAGAGACAGTTCTTCATAGAGAGCTTTATTTTGTGTAGAACAGGTCTTCTGAATGGGAATCCATGGAGTGAAAAATAAAAATTCGTAAGGTTTGTGCTACATTTTTTTCATTACATAATTCCTGTCACTGTCTCTTCCATGAGCACACATAGAGGCTGCCAAAGATTCACCATTCCTCACTCTCTTGAGACTCACTCTTCTTACCCTGAAGGATGGAAGTATGAGAGATATCTGTCTGCAGGTGTGCAGCATTCATGTGACTGCTAAACTAATGTCCCCTTTTGCTTCCTGAATGAGCCTCCTTTGAGTGCTGGGGTGGAGACCTCTAAGGACATGTTCTCCAGCCTTCCTCTGAGGATTCTACTGCATCAATCAAGCCACAGATATTGGTCATGCTCTTGCACTAAGCAAGAGTGAACTAAATATTTTAACAATCAACACAACAAATACAATTTTTAAAACAATAGTCCTGAGTATAAAATCCTTTTAGGTCTTTAAACAGTTTGCTTAGTAAGAAGGGCACATCAGAGAATTTCTGGCTCTCAGATGAAAAACGTACATGTCAGGCCTCACCTGTCAGTCAGTGGCTCGGAACGTTGACAGTTTTACATGGACAAATGGCTTGGAACAGATGGGACAAGACCTGATGTGGAGAAATTCACATGATTATTACCCCGTATTACCCTGATTAAATCCATTCACTTGCACTCATCTTAATGAGCAATCATTAAAGGAGACAGCACTAAATATTCTTGAGGTAACTGACAGGCGGAAAGAGTTGCTTATTTATATTCAAATCATTTAGCTCCTCAAAAGAAAGTGCGAATTTTTTTCACATGCAGTTAGATTGACGTTGGAAAGCTTTTCATCAGGTAGAAGGCTGTAATGTTCATCTTTCTGCTTTCCAGCAGCACTTGGACATTTGCTTTGGTATTAGAGGCATCCTGAAAGTGAGCGGTGGTTTTAATACCTTTCCCAAGTGGGCCCTCACACTTCATTATCAAGGGAACAATTCCTGCTTTAAGAAACATGTGCATGTATTAACATTGTTGTATATTTAATAAGACCATTCAATAAGAAAGAAATAGACCCTGAGGAAACCAACCCAGACATCCTTTCTGAATCTTCCCTGTAGCAGAGCTCGTCCCTTGTAAAGCCTATTTGGAATTTATTTCATTTAAAATTCACAACATCTTGGTTAAAAAGCACCAGATTCTTTCAGGCTAATCATTCTTCAAATCTATTCATTTGCTTCTCTCCACTTGAATTTGCAGTTGATCTTTTAGACTAAAATTTTTGTCTTTAATATTCAGATCACCTTCATATACTTGTCCCTTCCCTTGCTCAATTTATTCTAGTAATATATTTCTGTGCTTTTTCTTACTCCACTCAATATTCTGAGATGTATTTGCATTGCAGCAAATAGAATAATGGAGCAATGCAATACATTGAATTTAAGTCTTCCACATAAAGAACTCAAAGTGCTTTACAAACAAGAATCCCTTGTTAGTTACAATGAGGAAACAGAAGCCACAGATGCGGCAGTTGAATCATGGGAATAGTCTCTAGTCCTCACGATTTTGTCTTCAGCTCTAAACTGAGTTTTTCTGTGGAATTTCAAATCCTTCCTTGCTTCTTCCCTCCCTCCCTCCCTCTCTCTTCCCTTTCTTTCCTTTTTCCTTCTTCACTCCCTTCCTTTTTATCCTTCCTCTCTTCCTCCTTCCCTCCCATACCCCAGCACACACTTATTGTTTGTCTTATGAACTAGGCACTGTTCTAAACACACAGCATTTACAGCCATGCACTGCTTAATCACAGGGATAGGGGATACACTGTGAGAAAGTAAGCCATAGTCAATTCCATTATTGTGCAAACATCATAGAGTACACGTACACAAACCTAGATGGTATAGCCTGCTACACACCTAGGCTGTATGGTATAGTCTATTATTGCTCCTGGGCTACAAATCTGTACAATACGTTACTGTCCTGAATGCTGTAGGCAGTTGTAATACAATGGTAATTATGTATTATTTGTGTAGCTAAACATAGAAAAAGTACAGTAAAAATGGGGTATAAAAGATGAAAAATGTCATATGTGTGTGGGGCAATTACCATGAATGGAGCTTGCAGGACTGGAAGTTGCTCGGGGTAAGTCAGTGAGTGAGAGGTGAGTGAATGTGAAGGCCTAGGACATTATCCTACTATAGACTTTATAAACATCATACACTTAGGCTACCCTAAATTCATAAAAAATAAAGTAATTGTGTTAGGACATTACAATGGCTTTGATGTCACTAGGTGTTCGAAATTTTTCAACTCTGTTATAATCTTCTGAAACAACCATTGTACACGCAGTCCTCTGTTGGCCTAAATGTTGTTATGTGGTGCATGACTATAGTAATGAACAAGACAAAGCTTCTGTCATCTTGGGAATCACGCTGTAGTGGGGAAGAGGAGAGTTGAACAAGTGAAGAAATAAATAATTCCAGGTAAAGTAGAGAGAGGTGCTATATTAGAAAATGTGGTCAGGAAAGCCTGACCTCCCCAGAGAGGAGGTGATAAAAGACCTGGATGGAAGATCTGGGAATGAACACTTCAGGCAGAGAGAGGAGGAAATGGTATCCTCACTCCCCATCCCATCAACAAAAGAGATCGCAGCATTCCAGGAATAAACAAAGCCCAGCAACCCTGCAATGTGTGGGGCAGAGCAGAGAGGAAGTTCGAGGGGAAGGCACGGAGACTGCATCTCACCCTCAATTGAATGGGAACCCACTGAAGTGTTTGGGTGAGGGGGAAGCTTTGTTATAATTACATTTGTATCCTACAACATTTACTCTGACTGCTGTTATTTAAAGAAAGGCATTTACTCTGGAGAACATACGTGGAGGTTGGGAGAAGGCAAGTGCGGAAGCAGAAAGAACAATTTGAAGGCTGTTGCCGTAGACCAGGCAAGGCATGTTGTTAGCTTAAATTAGGTTGGTGGTCAAGATGGGAAGAGGTGGCTGGATTTGGAATAGATTTTGATGGCAACACCAACAGGAAATTCAGTTGGCTCTGAACGGGGAGTGAGGGAAAGAGAGGAATCAAGAATGACTCTTGGGTCATTGGCATTATCCCCTGGTGAGCAATGGAGCCATTTTTCAAGAAGGGGAAGGTTGAAGGAAGGGTAAAATCAAGAGCTCTGTGTGGACATGCTCCTGAGATGGCTACTGCAGGTAGAGATGTTATTATGTAGGGGATGGTAAGTTTGGAGTTTGTGGGAACTATCAAGTTTGGAAATATGCATTTGGAATTTGCTAGCATATAGAGGATATTGAAAGCCATGAGGTTGGATAAGATTATGTAGGGATTAATTGTCAGCTGGAGTATCTGAGCACTGTAAATAAGAAATCACATTTTGTGCATTCGTGTCTCTGCGATTGTCCTGTCTGATGCCATCTCTTTGTGGAAGGAAGCCCTGACGAGAGCAGAGTAGGTGAGTCACAGCTTGCATTCCTGAAAGCAATTGCGGAACTAGTACAAGTCATGGTTTCCTAATCTCTTTATGTATGGCTGATTTTATTTGCTGTTTCATTTAGAATTCTTCCTCCTTCTCTTATAAGGAAGATTGGTCTGTAGATTTTTATTGGTGCTATATTTAATAAATTTGATTATCTATGTTATGCTGGATTTATCAAAAGATTGTTAAGCTTTTCTTATTTCTATGCACCAGAACAAATTAAATAACATGGGAATTATCTGTTTATTTGTGGGATGGAAAGAATTCACAGTGAAAAATTCTGGTGCCAGAGGCATTTGGGAAGAAGCAGAATACTTACCATTCATTTAGTGCTAAAAATGCTAAACAATTGAAAGGCATAACATCAATTTGCCCTCTTGACAACTTTATGAAATCAGTATTCTTTCCACTTTAGAGACTATTAAGTTGAGGTGCACAGAGGTCTGGAAATTGCCCTCAGTCATGCAGCTAAAAGGCAGCATTTCAGGATGTGGACCACAATCTGATTTCAAATGCTCTACGTGCATTTAGCCATTAAGCATCACTGTCTCCTATGTTAATACCCACAGTGAGGGTGAAGATTCCTTCCAGTGGTTCAGGCATAAAATTTGGGCAGCTGCCATTTACTGCCCATCCGGCATTTGTCCCCTTGTCTTCACCCTGACTTTGTTTGCAGGAACCACTCTCCTCCACCCTTGTTTATGGGCCTCACTTAGGGCTCACTCCATCCCTGAATCCAGGAGCAGTCACAGAAACCCAGGTGTGGCAGTCAATACATCCACTCACCTGAGCAAAAGAGATGTATTCAGGGATAAACATGAGACCCAAATTCATCAAGTCAGAACTAATCCCAAAACTTCTCACTGGGCAAGCTCTCTGTAGATAGGATGGTTGCCTGGCACATCCATCTTGCCACCGTGAGAGGACTTCAGCCTGCCCAAGAATGGATTCTATCCAGAGGACAAAAGTGCCCAGAAAAGAGAAAGCAAGACCATATTCTGCTCAGAATATGTCAGCCTCAGAAACAGCCCTCACTTACTGCTGGCCTTGACATTTAAATGAACCCATAAATTCTCGGTTGTTACTGCAGTGGGTTCCCATTCAGTTGAGGGTGAGATGCAGTCTCCGTGCCTTCCCCTCGAACTTCCTCTCTGCTCTGCCCCACACATTGCCGGGTTGCTGGGCTTTGTTTATTCCTGGAATGCTGTAAGTTCTTTTATTGATGGGATGGGGAGTGAGGATACTGTTTCCTACTCTCTCTGCCTGAAGAGATAGTATTTGGTTGAGATGATTTTTTTGTCCCATTGGCTGTGCTGCAATAGTTGTGGACTATTATAGAAAGGTAACGATGTATTTTCTATTTCTCATATTTAGTCATTGGAACCAGATAAGTTTTCTGCCTAATGCCAGTCATTTAGTGAGGTAACTAGGGCCCATACCCGTGACTTCTATATTAGAGTTTTGAGTATTCTATTTACTAGACCATACAGTTTTCTCAAACATATCTGTGGAAGAGTTATTTAGAAAAAATAAAATACAAATTTCTTTTCTGGAGTCTTTCCCTATACATTTAGTTATTCATTTTCCAACACTTAGTTACTCTGACAGCTCAGATTTTACTGTGCTATAGAAGAGTTCTCAAAGCATAAGGTTACCATATGGGCATCAGAAGTTTTATTCATTCCAAACCAAACAGAATGTCTTTGGCATTGACTAGCTATGCTTTGTTCAACAGATGTATGGCCCAATATATTTGAATATGCATTTGCATATATGTGGCTGCAACCATTGGATTGGACACATGGAAGATGATAATGTGTGCTCTTGAAACAAGCAGTGCCTTTTCTGCCCTGGTCCAAACTCAAATGGTTCTCTTTTGTCCTAGGAGTCAAATTTACTTTTCCTGACCTTCAAAGATACAATACTTGCTTACCAATTCCCTCGCAATGATAGAGCTGGCTATCCCAGATTTTCACATATAGAAGCCGCCCTGGGTCTTGCTGCTGCCTCTCCCCTTCAAAGCAGCCACCTCCAGGTACAGGTCTGTCAACTTCCAGAAGACCAAAGTTGTTGTGTCTTGCTTTGTTTTTCCAGAATCTGGGACCAGGCTTTGTGGTTACTTAGTTCATGTGGTCTGGGGAG